TGCGCATTTTAGAATCGGGAGCATTTTTATTATCAGCCTCTTCTGTTCCGAAGTATGCCAACCAATCTTCCGAAAACAGACTGGAATTCAAAAGACGGGACTGCGAAATAAAATTTCTCCATCCCGAGGTACCTCTACCCTCTGGCGCACTGTCAGAGCTCTCTCCTCTCGCTCTTCGCAAGCTTACACCAACCTTTCCACTGACTCAACTGACCCCAATCTAATTAGATTTAAAAATGAGCTTATAAGAGAGGACCTTCCTCCGATTCACATTCCTTTTTTCCCTACTCCTTCTCAGTTCAATAAAGATAATTTTACTCCATTCTCCCTAAATGAATTCAACTCAGCCCTATCCTCTATTAAATCGGATTCTTCTCCTGGTTTGGATGGAATCACTGGAAAGATTATTAAAGATTTGGGCCCTGTCATTGTAGAGTTCCTACTCTTACTGTTCAACAGAATGTTTCTTCTCTCTTCTTTTTCCAAATCCTGGATAGATACCCACGTTCTACTTATCCCTAAGCCTGGAGGACGGGGTTATAGGCCGATATCTCTCTCCTCTGTTCTTTCAAAACTCTTCGAAAAAATTATTCAATGATGAATGGATCACAGGGTGGAGGCTCTTCGCCTTGTCCGTCGTTGTCAGTTTGGCTTTAGAAGAGAAAGATCTACAATGGATTGCGTGGCCACTCTCGTTTCCGACATACAGAATGGATTTTCTGATTCGCTGCACACTTTAGCCATTTCCATAAATATTAAAGGGGCCTTCAATAACGTTCGCCCTTCCATCCTTAACAGAATCCTTATTAACCTGGGATTCCACCCTAATATAATTAATTTTTTAACTCACATTACTTCTAAAAAAATCTCTCCTTCTCTCATGATAGAACAGAAGACAGGTTTTGTGGTGTGGGTGTCCCCCAGGGTGTCGTCCTTTCTCCTTTATTGTTTAATCTCTATCTACGGGGCATTACTGCTATTCTACCGGCAAACTTAAAATAAATTATGTACGCAGACGACCTTCTAGTCTACTTTCGATTTAAGGATCCGGAACTGGCAATGGAGCAGGCCGCGGCTGTCTTGGGCACCCTCTCTGCCTGGTTGAAAAACATGAGTATGGAGGTTGCCTCAAATAAGACTTGTTGTTGCATCTTCTCCAGATCCAGAACATCATTTGAAGATTTCCGGATTCGGTTTGACAATATTTATATTAATCTTGATCCTACAATGAAGTATCTCGGTATCATATTAGATAGAAAACTTTCATGGCTACCACATATTAAATACACCGCAAATAAAGCAATAAGAACCTTAGGCGTATTAAAAATTATTTCTAGAGTTTCCTGGGGAACCTCTCCATCCCTCGCCTTGATGGTTTACAGTGGACTTGTTCGGTCCATATTGGAATGGGAATCACCCTTATTTGCTGATGCAGCCACTACGAACTTAAAAATTCTGCCTTTAGAATCTCTTTGGGCTGCATGGGTTTTACCCCGGTGCCGATCCTTCTCTCGGAAGCTGGGGAGGCCCCGTTAGCTCTCAGAAGAGTCTTCCTATCCAACAATTTCCTCTTAAGAAACTATAAATGGAGAGATAATCCTCTCATCCATAAACTTCAGCTTCTTAGTGAAAAGTCCATTCTACCGAGATTCTCCCTAAACAAAACTAGATTGTCCCTCTTAAACGCTTATGAACGTACGATCCCTGTCGTAAAATCTATGTTTCGAACAGTACTACAGGTAATCTTCTTAGAGTGAATCCTCAACCTTCCAAACTTCTCAAACTAATTATTAGAGAGAAATATCCTAACTCCACTATCATATATACAGATGGAGCTCATAACAGGAAATCTGGCCTATCTGTTTCAGCTCTCTTCGTTGAGAATACCAACTACTCGGTGGGAATTTCACTTCAGTATGGTGCCTCTATTCTCTCTTCAGAACTCTATGCCATTTTTAAAGCCATCATATTTGCGGAGGAAAATATTAAAGGACCGATTTTGATCGTCTCTGACTCCCTATCGGCCCTATCTAGAATTTCAAATTGCTTTGCATACAAAGAAAATTCATATCTTGTATATAGTATTCTGTCCCACATAAATACGATACAAACATCAGCGGATGAAAATCGAGTAAGCTTTTTATGGGTTCCGGCTCATACGGGTCTATTCGGCAATGACAGAGCAGACGCGATTGCTAAAATGACCAACTCTCGCCTGAACAGAATACACTTTCCTCTTTTTCTCAGGACTGTAAGTCTGAGATAGTAGATCCGGATGGTGAAGCATGGCTAACCGGTCTGTGGCCATATGTGAGCCCCGCCCAACAACAAACAAGATACTTTGCCAGAATACGTTGTGATTCTCCTAGACCTTGGTTTGGGAGTGTAAACCTCCCGAGAAGACAAATAAATTTGATCACCAGACTTACAACAAGTCATATCTGTACCGCGGAACACTTATCAAGATTCCGCATGGACGTGGCTCTGGGCTGTGCATGCGGTTCCGACTGGCGAGACTTAAACCCTATTTTGTTCGATTGTCCTAATTTGGACTCAAGCAGACCGAGATTTCTTGAATTTTTGAGTAGACGTTTTCCTGAACTGAACCCTAGGGATGCCCCACTTGATGTACTTATTTTTTCCCCTGATATGGAAATTGCGAGAGAATTCGGCAGGCACATTGGAACGAAGGGGATCGTGATATGAGTGATGTCTCGAACCCAAGTCGTTCTTGGGTCTATTCATGTGAGTGATTCTACTGTAGGAATCAGTCACTATGAAGTTCATATTCATTTATGGCATGTCCCAAGCAACGGCGGGATTCTGGGCCTCTGTTCTGTCTTTGCGTTTCCCCGCAAGAATGTCTGCCCAACTTTCTCGCAGATGTGATAGTGTCCCTGAATGTTGCTCCACAGGCTTGCGAATAGATTCTTAGCTCTGCGCGCGTGTCAAAGTATTTGACGCACTATTAACTTCAACTTAAAGAAAGCTGGAGAAAGGAAGAAAATTGATCACAGGTGTGCGAGTTGATTTGGACCATAAATTGGAGCTTAATTTAAGCTTTGATTTGGGTGTAAACAATAATCGCATGTAGTCAACACGTGTATTAATTTTCTTTCCTCCTCTCAAGACTTTAATTGGACCAATCGACTCACTTAATTATTTGAGACGTTATGCCTCGCGCGATGCTTTGAACACATCCTTCCGCTCCTTCTCTAACCCTTTCCAACTCAATACCACACAAAGAATAAAGTACTGGACGCGGACACGGCTGCAATGACTCAACCCTGATGAATTCTCTCGTTGCCTGGAGATTCTATCACGTCGACTGATGTAATAATTGGATTATCAACTTTCTGACTGAAACTCTTCTTCATTTGTTTGTTTGTTCTGACAGTTGGCATCGCCTAAAGTCATATAAGAAGAAGTAGAAGAAGAACTCGACTTAAGTTTTTTATTTCACAACCGAGCCTCAGATTCAACTATGTTTTTGATGACGACACTCCTTAAGTCGACTTAACTGAGTTTTTGTCTCGTATCTTGTGCTCGAGCTCAACGACTATTAAGATTTTTTGACTCCTTAACTCGAATTAACTGACTTTTTATCTAGTATTTCTTCATTTACTGGGTTTTCGCAAAATTTTTAATAATCATTTTTTGCAATAAATAATTGAAATAAATTTTTTTTTATAACACAATTAGATGCAGATATTTTATACGAATCCATTGATACCAAAAACTCATTTTCGGCCAAAATATGACTTAACCGAGTTTTTACATCGTACGACAGTAAAGATTAAATCACTTTTTTGATTTTTTTAAAAAAAATCGTTTTATGTATTTTTTGAAATAACTTTTTCTTATATTGAAATTTATAAAGTTTACATTTTACCAATAATTATAAAATTGAACGCTATTTTTGTTGTAATCCTTCTTTTAATTTTAAATATGTATAACACGGTAAATTCAATGCTAGAATTTACCAGCTCAATTCATGCTCTCCCTACCTTACCATCTAACTTTTAACAAAGCTTGTAATACATCTTGTGTTTGACAGGCAAAAACTACTTGGGACCCAAGTTGTGTTGACTTTAATGCTACTACTTGAGTTACTCAGGCAATTACTACTTGGGTCTCCGGTTATCGTAGCTTTTTTTTCTCTCCGTGAAGTGAATCATGGTGAGGAAGCTAATTCGTCATGAAATAAACACCTTGTTTAATATAATATTTAAGTAATAATATCTCCACACAAATTATAATATAAAATTCTACATTGCAACAATCATCACCAAGTTTCAGTCAAGTTAATCGCCAGTTGCAGGATTCTAATACCGAAAAAGAATTAGACTTCTGCAATAGTAGTCAGTTTCGGTTTCATTCTATTTGCGCGTAGCGCTTATGCATTTAAAGTATTAAATTAATACTACGAAAGAATATTCCTCAATCATACTAAGAACGTATGAATTCATGGAATTTTTCAACTTTTTCAACCCGATAACATGTTTAAAAATTAAAAAGAAAAATTATTCTTAAAATAAATTAATTACAAAAATTTAATTTAATTTTTTTAATGCAAATGTCTCGAAAAATAATTTTTTTTCAAAAATTTGTATGCTCAATTAAACTCTTTACCTCTAACTAAAAACGTAGTTTGGGAGAAATTGGAGACTAAACCCTTCAATCTCATATAGAATTGCTCATATATCAAGTCATAAAAACGAAAAATAAATTATTTTGTTTGGCGCCAGTCTCATCAATAAGTCTTGTCAGTAACAACAAAATTGTTAAAATTTAATTTAAAAACCACGAGGCAGCATCATATAAAATATTAGAAAAGTTAGAGACAAGAGATCAGAATTAATGAACATCTCAATGAATGTATAAATTTCTGACTCATCAGAAATTCTCAGATAGCAAAAATTTTGTTAATAATAATTGATAATAACTTTAATCGTCATACTCTACTTATTAGGTTTAATAAGTTTTTTCATCATTATTAGAATTCTTATTGTCGACTGGGACGTTCATCATGGAAATGGGACACAATCAATATTTAAGGATGATTCAAATGTGTTGTACATATCCATCCATCGATATGACAATGGTGCATTTTTTCCCAATTCCGAAAAAGGAAACAGTGATTTTGTGGGAGACGGAGTAGGAAAAGGATTTAATGTAAACATACCATGGAATGAGGTATTTATTACTTAAAAACTGTTAATAAATATAAAAGAAATAAATATTTTTTAGATTGATCCTAATTGATGTTCTTAAGTGAATTGAAAATACTTTTATCCATTTGGAAAATCAGCATTTTATATATTTTTTACTCCACTAAAAATAATACTTAAATTATAAGCAAATAAAGAAGTATTTTAATAAATAAGAACTCTGTTAGAAACATTTTTAAATTCATATTTAAAAATCTTTTTGTAAAGACATCAAGGAATTTTAAAAGTATTCACATGATCCCAAAACGTGCTTTAATTTATAATATTTTGTAGAATCAATTTCAGCTTCATAATATATCTTAAAATCACGAATTTGAGTCTCAAGGATACCACTTTGTATAAATCATAACTTTAAAATTTTAATAATATCTTTATAACATTATATACTTTTATTGTTCTTTGGAATGTATGTACTAAATGCATTTGCAGTGATGTATTCATCATTGAGTGTATAATATGTTAAAACTAAATGTCAGGTTTCCAGAAACCATTTTACCAAATACCACTGTACCGAATGCATTTTTACCAAATTGACAAGATCCAGAAAATAAAAAAGAAATTTAATAAATGGACACATTTTTAAGTAATAATTTATAAAATGTATAAATTGTGGCAACGCTGATTTAGAGAATTAATTATTACACGTGGGTACGACTCTTATCTGGAAGACAATAGAACTGAGACGAATTATGAGTTGGTTAAACAAGAATAAAATACAATTCCAACGATGCGAGTCCACTTAGAGAAAAATTGATGCAGTCACCATAGTTGTAATACCTCGAGCAATTACTGGTGAGAAGGAACAATGACAAACTTACCGGTGTTGAACGAATCGTGCTTTCTTTATTGGACTGCGCTGGATGTGTCGAATCCTAAATGATATTGGCACAACACTTACACATAAAATTCGAATAATTAAAGTTTACTCTACAATTTGGTAGCGCGCGTAATTTGATTCAAATATTACCATCGCTATGTTAATACTCTTATGGAAACCACCAGCAATAGATTATTTAATGATAGAAATTTAGATAGTAACTTTTAATTGTTACAAAATATACAACAATTTCAGTATATAAATTTAAATGAATAATAAAACAAAAATAAGTTTATTTCCCACTATTTTCGACATTGCGCTAATCAACTAAGAATTTGAAAAAAATAATAAGGTACACGAACGAGCAATTTTTCTAGCCTTACATCTGTTACGAATAATATTTATGACGGTTGTTCGGATAATAGACTTTTGAAAAAAATGACATTCGGTAAAAAGGGTTTCGAAAATTTGAGCATTCGGTTATTTAGATTTATGTTTTAAAGACAATTTTTTTTTAAATAAAAATTTTGCTTTCGTTATATTACTCATAAAATATTTTTTAAAAAATATATTGTAGTTTGCAAATATTAAAACTTATGTTTAGGCTCGAAATTATTAAAATAACCATTACATTTGTTTTATTTTTCTTTAGTCAAAAACATTTTTTTATTCTTTAAATATTTTTAATTTAAAGGAAAAACTAGTAAATTGTTTTTTCCAGAAAGGAATGGGCGATGCTGAATATATTGCGGCATTTCAACAAGTTGTAATGCCAATTGCCTATCAATACAATCCTGATTTAATTTTGGTTTCTGCTGGATTTGATGCATGTGTTGGTGATCCTATTGGAAGTAAGATAATGATCTTTGTTAATTTAACTATCTAAAAAATTTAACGGGTAAACTTCCTATTAGCACACCCCTCCGATTTCTTTAAAAATTGGTATACAAACGTATTTTTGTATGCTGTTTACGAAAATGATAGCGAAAATTGGCCCAAATTTGATTATCATGGTGAAAACCATAAATTCAGAGTTTTTTGCGATTAACTCGTAAAAAACGCAAAATTTCGAAAAATATTTTAGATAAAAGCTGTAGGCCTAAAAAAACACACATTTTATGTCATATACATTTTTCACCAAAACCGAGTCGTTTTCGAAAAAAGTGTAAAAAATTACGACTCGGTTTTGGTGAAAAATGTATAGGACATAAAACGTGTGTATTTTTGAGGCCTACAACTTTTGTCTAAATAATTTTTCAAAATTTTGCGTTTTTTACAAGGTAATCGCAAAAAAACATGAATTAATGGTGTTTTTTAACGGTTTTCACCATGATAATCAAAGGGCATAGCTGCTGCCCAAAGTAAAAACCTAGTAACAGCAGTTCCACATGTATGCGAAGTCGCATAGTCGTTGCGAGCCCCGTTTCCCCACTGCGCCATCTACTCAATGCACTCCCCTTCTGACGTCACGGAGGGGAGTGCATTGAGTAGATGGCGCTGTGGGGATACGGGGCTCGCAACCACTCTGCGACTTCTGTAGATTTTGTAGATGGAGCAGAGCAGGAACAACCAAGGTTGGTTTAAAGGTGTTTTCACAACACAATTAGTATAAACATTTTAAATAGTTCACTTAGTTTTTTTTATTGTATAAAAAGGTTAATTGTTTATACCAATTTTTTAACTTCACTATAGTTTTATTAATTGAGTCCGAATCTCATTAAAATTCTAAAAGATTAAATTGTTGAGAGGAATTAAATATAAAGTAAAACACAATTAAGTGTTCAGTAATTAACGGATTCTTAGTTCCATTAAAATTAAATCTTTCTAAGATTCTTACAAGACATTTCACTACGCAATATTAACTTGGAATATTCTTTGCTACGAAAACCGTGAATTATCCAATCAACTCGGAGTTGTTTGTATAAACGCCTTTATTCTTCTTCTTCTTCTCTTTTTCCTTCTGAATCTCTGTTCTCGATCCTCATTCTTTTATAGAAGTATTCCTACTCTTCTCCCGATCTTGGGTCTATGGTTCCAGCCAATCCTGTTTCAGAAAAATGATTCACTCGGAATAATGCCACTAATGAGAGTCAAGTTCTTGGTATTGATCTGCCCTACTTTTCTCCTCTATTTTGATCTTAGATGCAGGTGTGCTTGCAGGTGTCCATAAAACGCAGTTTTATTATACGCATTATGAGTCATGTTCTTGTTTGCGTATTTTAAAGAGAGTCCTTGACATTTACAAACGGTCATCTACGGCATGAGTCATACATAACATTCTTGGAATATGCAGATGTTCTTGAGGTGACTCATCTAGCCAAAGTAATTCCTTAAATCTAACAGTAGTTTTTGACCTTGTATTTATTGATTGTTAAAGAACTTCATTTTTACAAATTTTAACCCTTCTATCAAAGTTTGATCAAATAATAATTAATTATTTACAAATTAAAAAGGTTTAAAAGGAAGAACTCATATTCATTGTAAAAGGACCTTAATTACATTATTTCTTATGTCCTTTTAACGTCTGCAGCCGATTTCTAAGTAGATACTCGCATTCGCCTGAAACAACCTTTCAGAGGATATGGGAAACTGCAAAAAACCCTTCCAAAGTACCTATTAAATCTTATCATTTCCTTATCATCTCTCTCTTTTGTTTTGTTTTGTAAAAATTAAAATATATTTATAATCATTAAACAATTTATTATTAAGAATCAAAAACCTCGTTGGTCAAATTGAATTTTTTAATAATGAAATATATAAGTTTTATTACATTTATTTAATTTTAATAACTGTATAATTAACTTATAACACAATTATGATATCTTTCGCGTTATACAAATAATTTATGTTCACAAAAAGGCAAAAATAATGAAATTAATGGTGCCCGGAAAGCGCCTAATAAAAATCCTCTGTTTCGGCCCTGGCGCACGAACGAAAGAGGCAGCGAGACGGGAAAATCGAGCGATTGACGGTCGAATTTTTTTTCGTGCACGCTCGTCCTTTTTTTCAATTACTGGCAAACCCGTCAACATTTTTTATTGTTCTTGGAATCAATGGAAAGCTTAGATTTCAAGGAATAATTATGTTAAAGGACAATTTTTTTCGTCGATTTTCCTGGACCATGCAAGAGGTTAAAGTCAAGGTAGGTAATAAGCAAAAAATTACAATTATTTTTTTCAACTTTGTAACATGATATATTTAAACCTATTTAAGCAATCTCATTCAAATAGGTATCATTTTTTTCGAAATTTAATAAGCTTTCCAACGCTATAAGGGAAAAGTCTCTACGTTAATTTCTCTCAGAGTTATCTTTATTTTCACGCGAGTATGTTTTTCAATGACTCGCGGTGTAAGCGTTCGCACAATTTCGGACGGTAGTGTAATTCTTTAATAATTTATTTTTATTAAAATTATGTAATTATTAATTAGAACTTTTATATTTACATTAAAATTTAAAATATTATAAAATGTTTTTAATTAATTAAAAATAATTACTTTCGTTGACAAAATACTCAATTTTCAAAAATATTTTCGTTTTAATAAATTTATATAAAATTGATACCACTAAAATTAAACTCTAATAAAATATAATTTTGTACAGTATCAAAAAAAGTACATAGTTCTACATGAATAAGTATTAATAATTTTAATAATTTTAAAAAATTAAATAATATTAAAATGCTTAAAATTATGTGCAATTAAAAAAATCGGACAATTGCGAGTTACACTCGCATTAAAACCGAGGGTTCCGTACCCCTAATCCTAAAATTTCAGGGGTTTAAAGTGTGAAGGCCGATAGAAAAATTCCAATTTTGCTTAATTTTTCCTGTAATGTGAGCATGGAAATACATATCATAAGTTTTTAAATATTTTTTTATCATTTAACATTTTCAATTTTATGATTTTTTTTAGATTTCACCAAATAATAAAAATATCAACAAATAAAAAATGTCAAAAGATAAAAAAAATAGCAAATGGTAAAAAAAAGAAAATGGCAAATTATAAAGAATGGCAAAACACTACAAAAAAATATAGCAAGCACAATTGGAGTTCTCGCTATATTTTTTTTGTAATACCCTATTGAAAAAAAACACGTATAATTGTACGTATAATAATACGTATTATTATACGTATAATTATACGTATTATTATACGTATAATTATACGCATAATTATACGTATTATTATACGTATAATTATACGTATTATTATACGTATAATTATACGTATAATAAGACATACGAATTTGAAACAAGAATTATACGTATAATTATACGTATAATAATACGTATAATTAATTATACGTATAATAATACGTATAATAATACGTATAATTATACGTATTATTATACGTATAATTATAATTCTATTAAAAATAGAATAATAGAATAGAATAATAATAGAATAATTAGTAGCAAAATTGCGCTGAAAATTTTTAGAAATTTTAAAATGCAAATTAAATTTCACGAAAAAAAATATCGTCTAATGTCAATTCAAGCAGTCACCCATCCAAGTACTAACCGCGTCCAACGTTGCTTAACTTCCGTGATCTGATGAGAACTTGTTCCTTCGCCTTGGTGTTTCCGCTGTCTTGTCTTGATTAATAACTTTGTCGTATAAGTATCACTAAAAGTGAGGTGCGATACAATACTTATACGACAAAGTTATTAATCAAGACAAGACAGCGGAAACACCAAGGCGAAAGAACAAGTTCTCATCAGATCACGGAAGTTAAGCAACGTTGGACGCGGTTAGTACTTGGATGGGTGACTGCTTGAATTGACATTCGACGATATTTTTTTTCGTGAAATTTAATTTGCATTTTAAAATTTCTAAAAATTTCCAGCGCAATTTTGCTACTAATTATTCTATTCTATTATTCTATTTTTAATAGAATTATAATTATACGTATAATAATACGTATAATTATACGTATTATTATACGTATAATTAATTATACGTATTACTATACGTATAATTATACGTATAATTCTTGTTTTAAATTCGTATGTCTTATTATACGTATAATTGTACATATAATAATACGTATAATTATACGTATAATAATACGTATAATTATGCGTATAATTATACGTATAATTATACGTATAATTATACGTATAATTATACGTATAATAATACGTATTATTATACGTACAATTATACGTGTTTTTTTTCAATAGGGTATACACGCAAAAATACGTAAAAGTGTATAAATTTGAAACTCTTTAGATAAAATATTCTTCGTTTTTTGGGGAAAAATCATGATTTTTATCGAAAATTATCAGTTTTTCCTTGAAAACACTATGATAATTAACTCCAATCGTTCTCAATATATTTTTTTGTAATCTACACGTAAAAATACATAAAAAAGTATAAATTTGGATCCCTTAGGATAAAATTTTCTTCTTTTTTTATTCGAAAAATCCATGATTTTTTCTAAAAATATGAGTTTTCCTTAAAAACAATATGAACATCAACTCCAATTGTGCTCGCTATATTTTTCCTGTAATCTACACGCAAAAATACGTAAGTATACCAAATATGAACTGCCTTCGTCAAATATTGTGTGCGCTAGGAGGATTAATCGCTTTTTTTCAAAATTTTTTATTTTTCCTTGACAACACTATGTAAATTAATCCGAATCATGTTCCCTATATTTTTCCTGTAATTTTCACGTAAAAATACATAAGTGTACCAAATTTGAGCTCTCTATGTAAAAAGATGTGGCAACCAGGTGGGGGGGTACATAGTCATTTTTAGGGATTTTTCGTAAAAATTCATGGTTTTTCCTTGACAACGCTATGATAATTAATTCCTATGAGATTCGCTATATTTTTCCTGTAATCTACACGCCAAAATACATATGTATACCAAATTTCAGCTCTCTAGATAAATTCGTGTGGCCGCTAGGGGGGGGGGGGTACATGACTTGCTTCACTAGTCTCATTAATAGGGTTCCCCCTTCGGGTACGGAACCCTAAAAAGGTATAAAAATGTTTAAATTAATAAAAAAATTTTGTTACTAAAAAAAAATTGTTAAAATATTGATAAAAAAATTTTTTTATTAAAAATATAATTCCATTTTTGAAAAGAGGAAAAAAAAATAACATAAAATCAAAAAAAGAAAGATTAAAATTGGTTAACAATTGACCGACTTAAAACAACTTTTGTAAATTTGAACGGGCGATTTCAGTTTTATAGCAGGCGTCAATCCGCGCTACGAGTTCCCCCACTCCGCCGTTTGGAGCAAGGAAAAATGATGAACTCCCTTTAGCCCACTTTATAAATAAGAAAAAAATTTCCTACAATGTATAAAAAGTTTTATCTTATAGTACGTAAATTAAGCTTGAAGTACTGTAAATTTGACTAAAAAATATTAATAATTATAGGGTGAAGAATTTTTTGAAAATAAAAAATTATCTCCCCTCCTCTTTAAGCTAAATAGTTTTTCCTTTTTTTTTAAAGTTTTGTAAAGAAAAAAGAAATTCAATGGCGTTTATTAGAATTCGATAGAGTAAAACTGTCCGAGTAATTTCAATTGTTTATAACTAAAAAACGTAACCTTTTTTCTTTATCCAAAATTATGCAATTAATTAATGAATTTCAATTCTTTCTTTTTTGTACATGATTTTGTACTCTTTAAGAGTAAAATGAAAGAAAGAAAATTGAATTTGCTCCATATAGTTCTGTAGAAATTAGTTTGAAAAACAACATGTTTTTAATTAACAAATGAAACAATTTATAAACTATTCATCCGATTGGGTTCGCAGTTTTTTCATTTTGTTCAGTATCGCGAGGGACACATTTTCAGAAAGTTTCACTTCAATCGGATTATTATTAACAAAGTTATTAAACAATTAAAAAAGTGCCATTTTTAATGGTTTAAATTCAATAACTTTTAAACAAATAATCCAATTTTAATTTTCGACCCGCCATTTTATAGGTTTTTTTTAATACCTTTCCTTTTTAATAACAACTTTTTCCTCTAAAATTTAAAGGAAAGTAACGAGCAACAAAAAACCACGTTTCACCAACTTTGACCATTGTTTATAACAATTTCTGCAACCGGAAATCGAGAGCAAACTATGGGGACATTATACTACCCCCCCCCCCAAACTACCAAAATCCATTTAAAAAATCTGTAAGCAATTAGTGGCACTTTTTGTCTTTATTGACTGGCCTATATACCAAGTTTCAATGAAATCGGAGAGGTGTGCTAATTGGAAGTACACCCAATTTAACTATTCTATTGAATTTTATGATAATCACTTTTCGCACTTAAATTATATTCTTTATTTTCAGAATGTAATGTTTCACCTGAATTATATGGACATTTAACTCATTGGTTATCAGCATTAGCTAATGGGCGTATCATATTAATTCTAGAAGGAGGTTACAACGTGAATTCTATTTCTTATGCAATGAGTATTTGTAATAAAGCACTCCTGGGTGATCCTTTAATTTCTATGCCATCTCTTCAGACTTTACGTTCTAGTGCTGTAACTTCCATAATGGACGTTTTAAAAATACAAAGAAAATATTGGCCCAATCTAAAATATCAAATTTGTTTACCTGCAGAAAACATTTTTTCAGATTCATCGTTTCAAGAAAAATTAATATCAAGTTCTCAAAATGATCAAAATGTTAATTCAGATATATTTAACGAAAAGATTATTGAGAAAATATGTCTAGAAAATACCAATTCGAAAGCCGACAAAAAATCAAATATTAGTGGAGAAGTAGAAAGTGAAGAACAAAACATGGCATGTCAGATTCAAACGTCAAACTTCCAGAATGTTTTGTCTGAAAATATACAAGTAAGTAAAAATCTTTTAACCCTTAAGGGGTGGTTCTAGTTCAAAGTTCCGAAAATTAACGTAATTATAGGATTTTTTTTGAGCGAACGCAATTATTTTATGAAAAATCTTCTTATGGTATTTATCAGTATACATTTGAAAAATTTTACAAAATTTTTTTAAGGGGTTATATACCTTTTCATGTGTCAAAAATCGATTTTTTTTCATTGCATATATCAAAAGTACATACTCTCCAGAATGTTTTCCAAAAATTTCATCAGAATCGGAACATTAGTACCAAAGTTATGGCTGTTTTAATCCGCTACTTTTAAAAAAAGAGCATATACGCTTGAAACTTTAAAGGCACGGAATCGTCATTTTTGAGAACTACGGTTACCACAATTATTAATATTTTTTAATAAAAATGTATATACAAGTACATTGAAATATGTACTTTTCGATCATATAAACTTCGTTTTAAAAAGAATTTAAATAACGGATAACACATTTTTTGAAAATTCCACTTTTTTGTCGCGCATAAAGGTATATAACCCCGAAAAATAATCAAAAATGGCGACTCCAGCCTTTTCCGAAGAAAGCAGTGCCTGGCGGGAGTCCAGGTGTGCTTTTACAGACCTTCTTAGTGGTCTGAAATGAAAAACCGAACATATTCTTAAACTAGAAAAACTTGTTTTTCCCTTTTTTTCTTTAACGTAAAAAAAACAACAAAATTTTTTGAAAAAATACAACCTGATGGCCCTCGCACCATCCTCGACTTGACCGAACTGTAACGCCACATAACTCTCGCTGCGCAACTTGAAAACCGCTGATGAATGGATTGGGACCAGTAATCAGCAAGATGGAAAAATATTCTATACTTTCCTAAAATGTCATTATTGGTGAAAGTCTAAAAATAAATTATTATTGAATTTGATAAAATAGTTTTTGAATTGAAACGCTTTTAATGTTTGACTTTTGGAAAAAATCTTTTTTTTAATGTACAATATTTATAAGTATAATGCATGATTGATTGTATAAACAATGATTTTTAAAGCTTTTTTAACGAGCGCCCTACTGAAAATCCCTGTACAAGATCTTGCACAATTTCCTGTACAGGATCAGCAACTGAACTTGTACAAGTTCTGACCAGTTCCTGTACAGGACCAGCAACTGAACTTGTACAAGTTCTGACCAGTTCCTGTACAGGAAAATGCATACGAATTTGGAACAAGTTCATGTGTGAGGTCTTGTACAAGATCTGGTGCAAGATCTTGTACAAGAAAATGTACATGATCTTGTACAATTTCATGTATGAGTACTTGTTTACTTTAACCTTTACAGCTGCGCAATAGTTTTTAGCATACATGAGTTACGAATCTTGGTGGTTAAAAATTATCAAAATCTCAAATTTTATTTAAAAAAAAAATTTTACAACTATACATGTGCAAGAACATGAACGTGATCATGTACAAGTACTTATACATGAAATTGTACAAGATCATGTACATTTTCTTGTACAAGTATCTTTCTTGTATAAGATCTTGCACCACATCTTGTACAAAATCTCACACATGAACTTGTTCCAAATTCGTATGCGTTTTCCTGTACAGAATTGCGCTTATCTTCATGCTCAAGGCAGAGAAGGGATACCTGGGTCCTTAAGGACTATAACTCCCGATGTTATAAGCATATCTAATCTCTAGCGGAAGCACTGCCGGCATGTTGAAACGGCGGCGATTTGGCAAGCTGCCACGCTACCGATGCACCATGGGGAAAGAGGAGGGAAAAATTGCCGTTGTAAGTTCCTTAGGGACCAAACGGCGAAGAAGACCGGGTGCCCTTCCAGGAGGAGACGGTTAGCATTGATTCCCTTCGCCCGTGCAAGTAGAACTTGAGCGGAAGAAGGGAATCAAAGTACACATCAAAGGTCACACACACTCATTCACACACACACTTATACAATAGGGTGCCCAATGAAATGGCGGAACGGTTAGTAACATTCATCTTGGACCCGATAACACCCCAACAGGAGTGGGCGTGAGTTAGCGAGGACAAGAATCCTGCACTTCCAAACGGGGACCACGTGGAACATCCGCTCCCAGACCGAAGTGTCAGACCGCAGTCTGAAACCACAACGGTCTCACCCTGCCTCCGGACGAGGAGGCGTACTGCGTTCAAATTTCCCTCTTTAGTCGCCTCGTACGACACGCGATGGGATACGGGAAGACAAATTCTCTGGCCGGACTTCCACGGCCACCTTGCACGGGGAGGGTCCCATTTCACATGGTGAACACCTGGCAGGCGTAGTGCGTTCATACATCATCGGTAATGTCCCATCTCAGCGTCTCCGTCGAAGCGGTACTTAGCTAGATGGGTACAACACTCCGCACCCATTTTAGTCGCGTTTTACGACATGCAGTGGACTACAGGCGCCCTATTCTGAATCCGGGAGCGCCACGGCGGCGTTTTCCTGTACAGGAACTGGTCAGAACTTGTGCAAGTTCAGTTGCTGATCCTGTACAGGAAATTGTACAAGATCTTATACAGGGATTTTCAGTAGGGCGGCACGATGGTGATAAATTATTTATTAAATAAAATTTTACCTTGCAAAAAGTTAATTTACGTGTATCTCAAAATCGGATTATTTTATCTTTTTCATCTATCTCAATGTAAAGCTTGACTTTCTACAAAATATGTAATTTTCAGAGTGGGATCTTTTATAGTTTTTGAGATAGAAACAATTAGTCGCACGCGCGCACTCTAACCGCGCAAAGTGGTAATACACATACATGATATTGCAAACGCTAAAGTATACAAAGTTGATTTTTATTAATATTTACAATTAATATCAATGCTATTACAACTGCTCTCTGCATTATTTACAGGATTAAGACTGTCATCAAAATGCCTGCATTACAATTACTAAAAATTTTGAAAATAAAAAATTAATTATTTCCTGAAAAATCGTATTAATTTAAAAAAAATGATAATTATTAAATTACTATAATGTTTGAAAATGAAATAAGTGAGTGAAAATTCATTTAGTTATCAGGATATACTTCTGAATTGAGGGGATGTCCGATTTTGATCACATTACGTATACATACATAATTTGGAGAACTGATTAAATGCATTTATTATGAGAAAATTGCAGAAAAGTATTTTGACACCATGAAAGAAGCTAATAGATGTAATTTTTGAATTGAAATCATTTAATGGGCTTAATGAAGGCTGATTAACAAAATTTTACAGTGTGCAATGATTTGTTAGCCATCTAGTTCCACACCAAGGTCGCAGGTGAGAGAATCTCTCACCCATGTAAGTGAGTGCAGTGTTGCCGTATCATTCAAATAAGCGCGGCAATTTTGAAATTGAATATCGTCGAAGCTACTGCCATACGTTTTTTGAGGTTAAGTTCTCACATATATGTCAACTTGGCAACGCCGCCTCACTATTACATTTACAAACAAGTAAAATCGACTACGCGGTTGGTCGCATGGTGAGAGAATCTCTCACCAAATCATGACATTTGTTGTTTTTAAATTCCATAAAATAAAAATAACACTGAATAAGAACGTGAAAACTATTTTAATGTATAAAAGAAGAGTGCTGTGAAAGGTACTGAAATTATGAAATGATAATTTTATGTTATTTAAGAGAAATAAATGAAAAATGCAACTGGGTGAGGGATTCTTTTACCATGCGACTGACCCCTGGCGGATTGGGTAAACCGAGATGTAACCGAATTGGGTTACGATTCGGTTACGTTTCGGTTACGTTTCGGTTACTTGTGAAAAATTGTCGTTTATCGACGAAATATGTTGTAAAAAACTATTAGGAATGGTTAATAGACATTTAGAGGTCTTATTTATACAATAATAACAATAAATTAAGATATAATTACTCAATAATAAGTGTTTTAAGTGTACAATGCATACAGTTGGTGAGTTACCATATATGTATATTATCATCAGCGGGAGCTGTGGTACGCGCTTTAAACAGTAGATGGCGTTGAAAATTACTTTGTAAATGAATTTCTAAAATTAAACTTTAGAGTGTCAAATGTGTAAGTGAATATAAGTTTTAAAAAAATAGATCGATTAATTAAAACAACTTTTTTCATTTCTACAAATATAAAAAAAAATTTTTCTCAATAAAAATTTTTTTTTTCTCAATGACATGAGAAAAATTAATTGTGACACAAAGAAATCTATTTTTCCCTAAAAAAATTTTTTTCTTAATAATAATTTTTTTTCACAACAAAATGAAAAGATTAATTTTTACACAAACAAATTTTTTTCTTAATAAAAAATTTTATTTTTTTAATGAAATGAGAAAATGTAATTGTGACACAAAAGAAACTTTTTTCCTCAATAAAATAAGAAATATTAATTTTGAAAAAAAAATTTTTTTCTGAATAAAAAAATTTCTTTTCTCAATGAAAGGAGAAAGATTAATTTTGACAGAAAAAAAAATTTTTTTCATTAAAAAAATTTTTTTTCCTAATAAAATTTTTTTTTTATTTGTACAAATGAAAAAAGTTGTTTTAATATATCGATCTATTTTTTTAAAACTTATATTCACTTACACATTTGACACTCAAGGGTTTAATTTTAGAAATTCATTCACAAAGTAATCTTCAACGCCATCTAGTGTTTAACGCGCGTATCACAGCTGCCACTGATGGTATGCACTGTACACTTAAAACACTTATTATGAAGTAATTATATCTTAATTTATTCTTATTATTGCATAAATAAGCACTCTAAATGTCTATTAACCATTCCTAATAGTTATTTACAACATATTTCGTCGATTAACGACAATATTTTACAAGGAACCGAAACGTAACCGAATCGTAACCCAATTCGGTTACAACTCGGTTTACCCAATCCGCCAGGGACGGAGGGTTAAACGACCTGCTAAACAAAAACTCACCTCTGTTAGTTCTTCTTGTAGTAATTGGTCGGTCCGTTCATCGAAGATTTGTAATTCGTCTATGCTTTTTGTTTTTGGTAATG